GGGCCTAGGGCTGAAGCTCAGTCCCTGGCGGTCATGTGACATCTGCCTGGGGATCCGCTGGTCAATCTACAAATGTCAGCCTTTGACCCTGAACATCCGTTCAGGCTGGTGACGCAGGGGCGTGCGCACGGGAGGCGTGCAGGGAGGGGTGCGGGCACAGGGGGGGGAGGCGTGCAGGGAGGGGTGCGGGCACAGGGGGGGGAGGCGTGCAGGGAGGGGTGCGGGCACAGGGGGACTTACTCCAGCAGACGCCTGTGGTTGAGCTCGTGCGAGGGGGGCATCCGGCAGCAGCTGAAGGTGACGATGCGTCTCCCGAGGTGGTCCTCCCCTGCAGGAAGACCCGGCTGAGCTCCGAGGCACCCACCCAGCCTGGCTCTCGGAACCGCCGGCCTAACACACACGGGCGCTCCTGACCGCCCGCCCAGCTTAGAGGGCAGGCGGCCGGCACTCAGAGAAGGCAGCGCCTGCAGGGCGAGCATCAGCCACAGGACACAGCAGGCCTTCCACGAATGCTGGCGCCTCCCGTAGGCACAGGCCCACTCCCTCCCTGCCCTGATTCCCCGGTTTTGGTGGGGGATGGGGGCTCGCAGCTGATCAGCGCACATCGGACCTCCTGCTAAGGGGGGCCCTGTGCCGGCCGTGAGAGGGGCTGCTGGGCAGCTGGGCCAGAGCACGGAGGGGTGTGGAGACAGGGCAGAACGGCAGGTGAGGAAATCGGTACTCAGTTCAGTCAGCAACAGGGCATGAGGGGCACTGCCAGGCTGTGAGCCCCGCCACCCTGCCACCCGCACGGGAGAGCTCAGCACGTGCAAAGGCACTGGGGCAGCGACATGGAGAGGGGATGGAGCCCAGCACCACACCGGGCCCACTTCCTTTTCCCAAGCAGCGTCCTGCTTGCACAGAGCGGTGAGCCAGTCACCCCTCATTCAGTAAACACTGAGCACCTCTTGTTTGCAGGGCCCACCGACTAGCATGACGCTCAGCTGTGAAGGGAGCTACTATTTCGAAGGCTTTTTACTCCCCTTAAAACCAAAAGGCCCCTTCTTCAGCATTTTCTTTCCATAGCAACAGATTTCTAAGGGTCCAGCCAAAGGACCCTCACAGCATTATTTACCCTCAACAAACATTCAGCAAAGCTCACAGGGAGTGGGGCGGAGGGTAACCCGGTTCCTGACATTCTTTTCTCTACACCTGGTGCATTTGAAAAGTTCCGTATTAACGAGAGGGAGAGGGACTCACTAGCCGGGCAGCCCTGAGCCAGCCCCTCTGCTCATCTGCATGGAGATAATAATGAAAGACTCGGAGGGGTACAGGGAGGGTTAAATCAAGAACTTAAAGTTGGCATAGTGCTGGCACACAGTAGGTGCTCAATAAATGTGACATGTTACCACGTGCCTGGATGCTGGGTGCTTCCAGGGGGGAAACTGAGGCCCAGAGAGGCAAAGTGAGCGTCGGAGCCGGTTCAGCTCACAGCTGGCTGACTGAGGGCAGCACCCCCAGCCCGGCCTCCCAGCTCCCTCTGCCCCTGGGAACCCCGCAATCCCAGCGGGGAGGCTCCCACGCTCCTCAGCCGTGCGGACCCCGGGGACAGCCAGCCCCTACACCCGATTAAGCAGTCACCACAGCAACTGTGTCAACAGCATCCGTCAATATGAGTAAATACCCTTGCCCGTTCTCCGGCAACACGGGCCAGCGTATCACAAACAGGCTTCAAGATGATATAATACGGACGGAAATGAAAACTATCAATAACATGCAAATCCGGGAGGCATCGGTTTAATCCACTCCCCATCTTTCTCCCTCGCTGCTTACAAGGCGGCATCGCTCACTGCCTGGAGGCGGGAGCCCCTTGTACGATACAGAAGCGATTCCGAGATCCATCGCGCCTGGGGAGGGGAGGCCGACGAACTGCGGCAGAGGCAGCAGCAACCCCATCGGGAGGCCTGGGCTGGGGCTTGGGGTTGGGTGCTAGGTCGCTGACCTCTCTGCAGAAGTGAAAGGGACTGGACTTGTTTGCCTGCCACCTGATCTGGGTGGAGCGGTGACCAGGCGTCCAGCAAGACCAGGTCCTGCGTGAACCTCCCTTAAAAAAAAAATCCTCACCCAAGGATATGCTTCTTATGGCTCTTAGAGAGAGTGGGAGGGAGAGGGAGAGAAACATGGATGTGAGAAACATCGATGGGCTGCCTCCTGCATGCACCCCAACCGGGGATCGAACCCGCAACCCAGGCATGTGCCCCGGCCTGGCCTGGAACCTGGGACCCTTTGGTGCACAGGACACCGCTCTCCCCGGCCAGGGCGCCCTCTCTCTCTTTTCTCTCGTCTCTGCCGCTCGCCCGTTCCGCGTCTCTGGGACGACACCTCCTGCCTCCTCTGATCCTGGGCTCTAGAACCTTCCCTCTGCCCACACCGCGTCCCGCCATCTAATCTCGCCTCTGAGTCCCAGCCCTGGCCCCAGACTGGCGCTTCAGAGGATGGCCGCTTCTGGAAATACTTAAATCAGGGGTCCTCAAACTACGGCCCATGGGCCAAGTGGCCGCTTCTGGAAATACTTAAGTCAACTTTACTCATTACACACTATCTTAAGTCCTGGCCGGGTACTCAGTTGGTTAAGAGTGTCATCCTGGCCCATCCAGTGTGGCTCAGTGGTTGAGTGCCAACCCATGAACCAAGAGGTCACTGTTGGATTCCCGGTCAGGGCACATGCCTGGGTGGTGAGCTCGATCCCCAGTAGGGGGCGTGCAGAGGTAGCTGGGCGAGCTCGATCCCCAGTAGGGGGCGTGCAGAGGTAGCTGATAGGCGTTTCTCTCTCATTGATGTTTCTATCTCTCTAACCCTTTCCCTTCCTCTCTCTCTAAAAGCAATCCTATATAATAGAAGCCTAATATGCTAAGTGTCTGGTCATCCAGTTGGCTGTTCAACCAATCAAAGCATAATATGCTAATGATATGCTAAGACCACTCAACCACTCACTATGACATGCACTGATGACTAGGGGGCAGACAGTCGACCGGTCAACCAGTGGCTATGACGTGCACTGACCACCAGGGGGCAGATGCTCCGACCAGTAGGTTAGCTTGCTGCTGGGTCTGGCCAATCAGGACTGAACGAGATGGGCCAAAATAGCCTGGAGCCCTCCCATGGTCCCTCCTCGACTGGCCAACCTCCCGCATCCCTCCCCAGCCCCGATCGTGCACCTGTGGGGTCCCTTGGCCTGGCCTGTGCCCTCTTGCAATCCGGGACCCCTCGGGGGATGTCAGAGAGCCGTTTTCAGCCCAGCAGCAGAAAGATTGGTCGCTATGACACGCATTGACCACCAGGAGGCAGATGCTCAATGCAGAAGCTGCCCCCTGGTGGTCAGTGTGCTCCCACAGGGGGAGCGCTGCTCAGCCAGAAGTCGAGCTCATGGCTGGCGAGTGCAGTGGCGCCTCCGCAGCAGCGCTAAGGATGTCCGACTGCAGGCTTAGCGGGCCTAAACCATCAGTCAGACATCCCCTGAGGGCTCCCAGACTGAGAGAGGGTGCAGGCCGGGCTGAGGGACCCGCCCCCCCTCCCGCTGAGTGCATAAATTTCATGCACTGGGCCTCTAGTAAAAACATATTTTAACAAGAAAAAGTGTTGTCCTGATCCGCCAAGGTTGTGGGTTTGATCCCCAGTCAGGGCACATACAAGAATTACCCAATGAACACACAAATAAGTGGAACAACAAATTGACGTTTCTTTCTCTCTCCCTTCCTCTTTCTCTCTCAAAATCAATCAATAAAAATTTTTTAAAAAGCAGAAACGATACAAAACACCATCTTAAGAGTTAAAATTCTACAAAGCTTCCATTTGGCCAAATATATGACCCCTTAAGTAACGACAGGTCATTCCACTATCACTTGTGACAAGTCTTTGGTTTTGGCTGTGGGTTTGATGTTCAGTACTGGACGAGTGGCACCTGGGGAAGAAAATTAGGGGAACCCGTTGGTGGGAGTGACGCGTGGTTGCCCCTGAGGCGGAGCCCCGGGCGGGGTCCTGGGGTGGTGCGTGCTGCTTCTGGGAGGAGCAGGCGGCAAGAGCTGCAGGTCCTAACCGTCCCCTGGGCCCACCCCACGCCTCAGGGCCCACAGGAAGGAAGGCTGCGCGGTCACGCACCTGGGACCGCCCAGCGGGACTCACCTCCCACCTGCAGGATGCCGTGTCTGGCCACGTCGTAGAAGGGGTGACTCAAGCTCAGGGCGGGGTCCTGGTCGGCCGCTGCCACCGCGGAGGGTCTTCGCACTGCCCCCAGCGCGGCTGCCTCCTCCTCATCTCTCTGCAGCTCTAGGGCGGACAGTGAAGAGGAGAGGAAGTCAGCTGTATGCTCCAGGGAGGAGCATGAGGGGGCCTCCTGACGTCTTTTTATAGGACAGTCACCATGCCTCAGCTGTGCACCCACTACGCGCCCACCTCTGTTGTGCACCCACTATGCGCCTGCTCAGGGTGCAGCACCATGGAAGAAGAAGAATGAGACCCGAGGGCTGGCTATTGGCCTTCACACTGACAGAAGTGGAAACTGAGGCTCAGAGAAGGGGAATGACTTCCCCAAGGTCACACTGCTAACTGGCACCAGGGTGTGGGCTGAACTCGATCTCCTAGCTCCAAACTCTGGCTTGGCCCTTCCTGAAAGATGCTGGCTCTGGCAGCTGGCAGCAAGCCATGGCAGACACTGGGTCACTGTGCTGTGAGGCAGGAAGCGCGTGCAGTCTTCCGAAGGGGACTTTGAGAAGGGGAAGCTCCTTCATACAAAACAAATCGAGGGGTTTTCAGAAATGTCTTCAGCTGGAAAAGAATGGGAGCTTCGAACCTCAGGTGAGGGCCGCCGATGCACTGGATGAGCAGGTCCCTCCACACCCCGTCCCCAGCCCCCCGGCACCTCCCAGGTGACCTTATTTGGGAAACAAGGCCTTCAGAGATGAAAGGAGCTAGGATGAGGTCGCCCTGATGAGGGGGCCCTGGACCCAGCGATGCTGGACTTCTCTGTGAGAAGGGAGGACGAGAGACACGAGGGAGGAGAGTCCTTGCACCTATCTCAGCCAGCTCCTCCAAGTCCAGCCGGGCCATGCTCTGCGGTGGGCAGGGGGCGGGCACACTGTCGCGATGCCGCCTCTTGGGGACCCGGGCAGGGGCTCCTTCTGACGCCCTGAGGGAGAAGCAGAGGAAGGGGGCGCATTTCACACACATCTCCTGGATGGGGCTCCCTCCCACCAGCCGGCCCCGGGGGCGGACAGCAGGGCCGTGTGGGTGGGAACAGCACCTGCAGGGCCCACGAACACCCCGGAAACCATCATGCCTGCGTCCCCACCCCCCTCAGAGACACGCACACTCACTCCCGTGCCCATTGTACGGAGCGGGGAACTGAGGCCGGCAAAGATCAGTTAGAGCTGCTCATGGCTGCACAGCTGGTAACCATAACCAAAAGCCAGGAGTTACCCTGTGCCCGGGACGCTGCCTCAACACCTGAAAACATCTAAAAAAATCCCCGTGTGTGTCCAAATAACGAAATATTTTGTGTCCCTGAAAAGGAGCGAAGTACTGACACACGCTAGGCGCGGACGAGCCTCGAGAACATTACGCTCCGTGGAAGCAGCCAGCACGGAGGCCACAGCGTGTCTGATTCCTCCGATACGAACAGGCAGCTCCACAGAGACGGGCAGCGGAGCGGGGCTGCCAGGCGGGGGAGGAGGCACCAGGGGGGACCGGTACGGCTCTTTCGGAGGCGACGACAACGTCCTAAGTTGACTGGGTGACGGCCGTGCTATCTGTGAACATACCAGCAAACTGAGCCGCACATTCTCCGTGGGCGGAGTGTGTGGCCTGTGAGCTGTATCTCAATAGTGGTTTTAAAACATTAACAAAACAGTGTGAAAACACCACGTAAGTTTGGTCCAGTATTTTAAGAGGAAAAAAAAAGGTTTAACATTGTTTTAAAAATGCTGTTTTCTGCCCTGGCCCATTTGCTCAGTGGTTAGAGCACTGGCCCGTGCACCAAAGGGTCATGGGTTCAATTCCCATCAAAGTCACATACCTGGGATGCAGGTTCGATCCCCGGCCCAGTTGGGGTGCATTTGGGAGGCAACCAAACAATGTGTATCGACCTTTCTCTCTCTCTCTCTTCCTCCCTCCCTCCCGCTCTCTCTAAACATCAGTGGAAAAATATCTTCGGGGGAGGATTAACCAACAAGTAAACAAATAAATAAAAGTGCTGTTTTCTGCCCTGACGGGTTTGGCTCAGTGGATAGAGTGTCAGCCTGCGGACTGAAGGGTCCCGGGTTCGATTCCGGTCAAGGGCATGTACCTTGGTTGCGGGCACATTCCCAGTGGGAGGTGTGCAGGAGGCAGCTGATCGATGTTTCTCATCGGTGTTTCTAACTCTCTATCCCTCTCCCTTCCTCTCTGTAAAAAAAAACCAATAAAATATATATTTTTTTTAAAAAGTGCTGTTTTCTATGAATTCTGGGGTTAGGATTTGTCAACCCATTTATTTTTCCATGTTTGTCCTTTTATTTTCACTTTTGCAAAAGCCTGTATTGCTCTTAATATGAGAGAACGTTATTTAAACTAAAAAATGCACGACTGGTAATAGAAATATGTTATGATATAAACATATTAAAAACCTTGTCTCCTTAAAAAAAAAACAACCAAAAATCCCCGTTAGCTTAGTGCCGCTTCCAGCTCCATTCCACAGATGAGAAAACTGAGGTAGAGAAGGGAGTTGCCTGCCCGTTAAGGGGCCAGGCTGCAGGGCTGGCAGCTCTGGCCCAGGACTGAGGGTGGTGCAGACCCGGGAGTGAGAGCCTGCGGGTTTGCTCCCTGGCAGGGTGCGGGCACAGAGCACCAGGCAGGGGAGCCCAGCCCTGCCCCCTGGGCCCCACCTGGCCCCACCGCCCACCTTCTCCGCGGAAGGAACGCACCGTCCGTCCTCCAAGTCCAGCCTTCCCCAAGCTGTGGCCGATCACTGGCAGGGGCCCTGGGGGTGACACCAGGCCTGGGAGCCTGTCCTCAGCCCTGGCCGGGAGCCACTCCCCACCCGAGTGAAAGTGAGAAAAGAAACTCGATCGCCTGCGCAGCTCTAGGCAGGGCGGCAGGAGCCGGCTGGAGGCCTGAGGAGCCGAGAGCCCTCTCGTTTGGCTGTGGGCACCCACCCAGCCTGGCTGCCAAGGCAGGGTGCCCGGACTGGTGCTGCCCTTGGCAGTGGGGGCAGGGGGACAGTCCTGAGGGGGGCCTGCTGCCATCATTCCACTTGCACCTCACAACAGGCAGGGGCTCCCCAAAGTCTGATGATGGAAGGAGGCCACCCCACTCCCTGCCCCCCAGCCCAGGTCCTAGAGTCCCGTGCACCCTTCTGCGGTCCCGCCCGGAGGCTGAGCCTGTCCCCAGCCAGACAAACACCTGGAGAGCAACCTTCTGCAGCACCAGGTGCCCCCCTGAAAATGCAGGGGACCCATGGAACACTCTAGAACAGTGGTTCTCAACCTGTGGGTCGCGACCCCTTTGGCGGTCGAACGACCCTTTCACAGGGGTCGCCTAAGACCATCCTGCATATCAGATATTTACATGACGATTCATAACAGTAGCAACATGACAGTTATGAAGTAGCAACGAAAATAATTTTATGGTTGGGTCACAACATGAGGAACTAACTGTATTTAAGTGGCCAGAAGGTTGAGAACCACTGCTCTAGAACATTTCTGGTTGAAAGCCTGGCAGGAGGCCGAGCCCACCAGGGCGAACAGCTGAAACAGTCCTCATCCTCGGCCCAGGTCTGCCCGCGGGGAGAGGCCTCCCGGGCACCGACGCGCAGGGGCACACGGAGCCCTGAAACCAGGAAGCCCCTTGCCCTCGCCCCCTCGCCGCCGCCTCCGCTTTACCCAAAAGGGACGTTCCGTCCGGTTTCCCTTCAGGGTCAAAACCTCGACCCCATCGGCCGCAGGGACACCCCCATTTGTTCTGAAGTTGGGCGGGTGTCACCCATAACCAGAGCTTTGTTGTGGCAACAGCAGCTAGTTGGGGGGGGATCTGTGGGTGGGGGGCCTGCGAGCCTCCCTCCCCACAGGGTCTTATAGTTGAGAGTAAAATATGGCCGCCCACGGGCTCAGGCACCCAGGGGCCTGGACCAGAGTCCGGGTCGCTCCCCACCCCTGCTGCT